GTTTAGGGTTTAGGGTTTATGGTCATTAGGTTCCTCAGTAGTGCCCTCAGGGTCCAGAGGACCCAATAAGACATTAGTATAGTAGTTATGTAGGTCGCTATTTGGGAGAGCATATGATAGTTCGGTAGTTGGTCCTTGCCCCTAAACCCTGAACCCTGAACCCTAAACACCAAACCCTAAACCCTGAACCCTGAACCCTAAACCCTAAACTTCTTGAAAATCAAGCCGTAGTCATTTCACCCCAAAGACGATAGAGTACTTTTCCAGATCCCTCAAAGGAGCTCTTAAAGGAAGTGATTAGCAATTTTATCCATAACCCTAAGGGTCCAAATAGTCCACATTTACGGTATCGCTATCCCGAAAAGACCCCAATATCCTAACGTAAGGAGGACTTGGGCCCTCAGGGACATGACCCTGAAACGTATACTTTAAGGTTTAGGGTTTAAGGTTTAGGGTTTAGGTTTAGGGTTTAGGGTTTAGGGTTTAAGGTTTAGGGTTTAGGGTTTAGGGTATACTATAGGGTTCCAAATAATTACCAACATTATTGTGAGGGCTCCTTATTATAATTGTAGCAGAAGATACCTCAACACCTTATTCTAATGATGAAGCCCCCTATATGAGGGACGCTAAGTGTCTTATACTATGAACCCTGGTAAGTCCTAAACCCTAAACCGCTAAACCCCTAAACCCCTAAACCCCTAAACCCTAAACCCCTAAACCTTAAACCCCTAAACCCCCTAAGGTCACTGGTCTTCTGCAGCTTCGTAGCTGTGGACCTCTGTCCGGCCGTGCTGTCTGTGCGGTATCTGAACATGTTCCTGGGCTTTGGAGTACCATACTTTAATACTTCTTTTTGGGACCTGTTCCTTAAAGGAACCATTATGGAATAAAAGTCTATACTTTTTTCTTGCTGGTTACTTCAAAGCCGAGGTTCTATGTACTGGCCACACTTGTTTCTTACCTGGGAATCCAAAAACCTACCGTTTTAGGGGTTCTACCCTCTAATTAAGGGGTCATAACCTACCATGTTGTAGGGCTTGGGGTCACAGGTAGTAGCTGAGTCAGTGCACTTCACACTTTTTTGGGGTAATATGATCCCTTGTAGAGCTGAAAGTGTACACTTTTTGGGGTTTAAGAACTCAGCAGCTAAGGTTTGGGCATCGCAGCTGTCTCCATGGCATGTGGCACCTGAACATATCTCAGAAATCCGATCCGGAAAGCAGTCGTGCTTTGTAAGTTTCTTCTACTGCTCACTTGCACCACTATAAAGCATAAAGCCTTCCCAAATCACCTCCCTTTCTAAGGACTTTTACAAGGAAGCCATAATCGTGAACCCTACAAACTCTAGGCTTCTTAGTGTCCAGGTATACCCGAGTCTCTAATCCCTGAACGCTTCCTAAAAGCCGTTTCGGATAAGTCCCCAAACACTACAACTCTGAAGCGTAAAACCCGAAACTCCTACCCTATACTTTACGCCTGCATTTGGTGTCCGGCGATCTTCAGGAGATATCCCTCTTCATTCTTGGCCTCTGCCGTGTGCCTGCAGTTGGTATTGCGACTTCGCCAATCGTGGTTGCTGCCTGCAGCCTCCCACCACTGCTAGTGGTTCTGTTCCGGGCCAGCACAGAAGCACTGCCAGCAGCAGCCATCTTTGCAGAAATTGGCGGCCTCGTTGCAACGGTCTGTGCATCTACAACACTGCATCTGCTTCTAAGCTGCTGGACCGCTCTTGAGAATCAACTTCAGTTTACGGTATAGTCTTGCCTTAAGAAGGAGCAAATGATGGGAACTACCTATAGTCTCCATTGTAGTTCCTTTTGGGGGGTTACCTTTTAGGATCCTTAATACAAAATTGGTTAAACCAAAAAAAAGAACTACAATGGAGACTATAGGTAAAGTTTGCAAAGGGCCTGCAAGTAGACCCCAGGTTATCGGATTGAGCGCAGTCTGCAGTACAAGAAGATGGAAACGGACTTCAACGCTGCATCATCTCTTCTGCACCTGACATGCGACTCCGTCGTCGAGCTCGATGCTGATCTGCGAATGACGGAGCACAAGGCTGCACTCTCCGCCATGCTACTCCGGCGCAGGCCAGGAGCCACCTTGGCGGGCATGGACTTCACCGAACTGCTGGCTGGTGCCGCAGAGGCCAGTCGTGTTGTGGAGCTGCTGCGCCGCTTTGAAGATCGCCCCCCTGAGAGCGTGAATGCCCAGGCCTTCGTAACTCACCTCATGGACAGCGACTCCAACAGATTTCGCACAGAAGTCTTTCAAGTCATGTATCACACACCGCAGGGTGTTGCAAGACATCTCCTCGGCCTCCGCGACGTTACAGATCAGGACTCCTTGTCAGGCAGCAAAGTCGTCGAGAGCTTTCACACTGCGCCACGCTCTTTCACGCCGATGTCTGCGGGGGCATGCAGTTCCCTCGACTCAAAACAGACGCAACTGCAGACAAATGCTGTTGCTGAAGACAGGTGGGGGTTTCCCAAATATAGTATATACCCTAAATCGTAGGATCCTTATTCCCTGATATAGTACCCTAAATAGTAGGATCCTTATAGTAAGGACCCCAAGATAAGCCCAAAGGATCCAAAGTACCTATATAGTAGAATGTAGGGTTTCTATATTAAGAGTTAGTATTATGATTTGGGGAAGTATCCCCCATAACAGTACCTAGGACCCTTTGGGAAGGTACCCTAAACCCTAAACCCCCTTTTTCTTCGGAACCTCCCAGGTGTCTTTCGCTCCTGATCGACATGGACCGTCCGATCGTTCATGCATCATCGCAGCTGCTGCTCGGTTTTGGCGAAGACATCCTCTAGCTGTTACCATAACAGAGGGTTTAGGGTTTAGGGTTGAGGGTTGAGGGCTGAGGGTTTAGGGTTTAGGGTTTAGGGTTGAGGGTTTTGGGTTTAGGGTTGAGGGTTGAGGGTTTAGGGTTTAGTAGTTGAGGGTTGAGGGTTTAGCGTTTAGGGTTCAGGGTTGGTAAAGGGATCCTTGAAGGGTTCGTTTGAGGGGGTATAAGGGGTTCGGTGAGGGTGCTGAAGGTTCAGGGTTCAAGTTACCAGAATAGGGATGTAGACTACATAATTCTGATACGGTGCCCTTATTAAATTTCGTAGCTTAAATAAAAAAGGTCCTATGTACCTATATGTACCTATATACTAGAGTGGAGGGTTTCTAACATCAGGAATAACGATTATGATTTAGGGAAGTACCCCCCCCCGCCCCCATAAACGTATATAGGCCCTGTGGGTAATTCCTCAACAACCCTACACCCTAAACCCCTGAAAGCCTCAAGCCCTAAACCCCTAAACCCTAAACCCCTTAACCCCTAAACCCATAACCCCTAAACCCCCTAAACCCCTTAACCCCTAAACTCTTAACCCTAAACCCCTAAACCCCTAACCCCTAAACCCCTTAACCCCTAAGATCCCTTAACCCCCAAACCCTTAAATCCCTTAACCCCTAAACTCCCTTAAAGCCCTGAAACCGTAAGCCCTAAACCCTTATCCCCTAAACCCCTAAACTCCTTAACCCCTAAACTCCCTTAAAGCCCTAAACCCCTAAACCCCTAAACCCCTAAACCCCTAAAATCCTTTAAACCCCTAAAATCTTTTAAACCCCTAAAATCCTTTAAAGCCCTAAAGTCTCTCAAAGCCCTAAACTCCCTTAAAGCCCTAAAGTCCCTAAAAGCCCTAAACCCCTAAAATCCCTCAAAGCCCAGGCTTTGCCTGGGGAGGAATTTGGCCGCTTTGTTCTCTGCGGCGGGAGTGGAGCTTCTGGAGCGGAGTTGGCG